TTATGAAATGTAAACTTTAAAATTAAGAATTATGTATTTTTCCATGAAAAATATAGTCGTTATTCGACTCCACACAAGATATAGAAATTCAAAATTGATGGCTTAATGTGATGAATAACGATCATATTTTTTATTTTTATAAATGAAAAATGAGAAACAAACGGGAACAAAATTAAAAAAAAAAAATGGAAAATGTTTTACGTTTTGCATGGAAATTTTGGAGTTTCAAACAGGCCTAATTGTTCGACTTAAAAGTTGATTGTATTGGAAACAGTCTACTAATAAAAATGTTACGTCAAATCAATCTGTAGCATGATTCATGTTTCTTTTGGTTCTTCCCGGAAGCCGCGTATGAAGGCTTACTTTCTTTGACCACCCACTCTTCTCTTTCTCTCTCTATATTTGTGTATCTATCTATGGGAATGGGATGTATATATATTTCTTGCTCCACAAAAAGGATTCAAATATCAAGCTTTGAATTGGTACAAATTTGAATCAGACCCATCATTTTCTGCATTCCCATTTCAAAGAAATTTACAGTTCTCGGTTAAACTGGGGCGAGAAAGAATTCATATCCGTAATTAAAGGTGCATTTGACTCTAATGTTTGAATTTCTTTCCCAGAATTTCACTCATTAGAGCAGTATATATAAAGGGGGATCATATTCATTCAGCATCATATATTTTCCAGACCGCAGAAGGAGACATTAAACTGGTGAGTGATTTATTACCCTTTTAGATTATGAGTTCGATTATAATTGCAAACCCTTGACTGGTTTTTATTTTGCCCTTTTGGCGATGATAGATATTCTTGGTTGTGTACAAAAGTAAAAATATTCAGCTGATTAATCGGTTTACGATCAGCTTTTAGTTTGGTAAATATTGATCTCAGAATCAATTTCCAGGAAGCATTTCTTGGAAAATTAAGCAATTGAATTGATGCTTAAGTATTTGAATTTTAATAGTATTTTGTAACTGAGTCGCGTTTTTGTGATCTTTCGAGTTTTATAATCTTGGCTATCATTATTTTTTTCAGCTTTGAACGTAATTGTTTTGATTTGGCATTCGCTATCAGTTTCACTTCAAGAAACTGGGGATGACTTTAAGAACGAACAGCTTCGGTAAAGCGGATTCAACTGCCATCATAAAGGAGAGAGGATGCAATAAGATGGTTAGGGAGAATTCGATAAACTTGAGGAACTTCGAGCCTGCAAAATTAGTCCTTGAAACGACGCTTTCGTTCAAGAATTTATTTCAAGAAATAAGAAAATCAGAATCTAGTTATTCGCACACAAAAGTCGATACTTGTGAACTCCCAGAACCAGCCATTATGTTTTCTCCAAGACCAGTTAGTGAGCTTGATGCGGCTGCAGTCAAGCTTCAAAAAGTCTACAAGAGTTACCGGACTCGAAGAAACCTTGCAGATTGTGCAGTCGTGGTCGAGGAGCTATGGTTTGTCTTTAAGACACTTCTAGTTTATATTGTTATTTGTTCATGTATGTTATTTGTCGTTAATTGGTTATATGTGATGTGTATAGGTGGAAGGCTTTGGACTTTGCAGCTCTCAAGCGTAGCTCTGTCTCATTCTTTAATGTTGAGAAACCCGAAACTGCGGTTTCTCGGTGGGCTAGAGCCCGGACGAGAGCAGCTAAGGTTGGAAAAGGATTGTCAAAGGATGAGAAGGCTCAAAAACTGGCCCTACAGCACTGGCTTGAAGCTGTAAGTCTCCCCTGAATCTTTCTAGTGCATCTATCCAATATAAGTTTCACATAAAAATCATTCATTTTATGATTTAAATGGGTCCTACGGTTTTTGTTACTCATTTTCGCTATCTTTTTATTGTAGATTGATCCACGTCATCGATATGGACACAATTTACATCTCTATTATGACCTCTGGTTCAAAAGCGAAAGCGCTCAACCTTTCTTCTATTGGTGAGTACCCTCTTCAACCCCTCCAATGGGCAATAAGACTCCCTTTCCCTAAAGAAAGGATTCCAATTCTTGTAATTTGTTTATAGACAATATTTTTCACTGACTCTCCATAAATATTGATTCTTTTATGTGAAGGCTCGACGTTGGAGACGGAAAAGAAGTGAATCTTGAGAATTGTCCAAGGGCCACATTGCAACGTCAATGCATCAAATATCTAGCACCCGTAAGTTCAAGTTGTTGCAGGCATATAACATTCACGTGAACAGACGTTGCACGTGAATTTATTTTTATTATGTTGTGTATATGGGCTGTGAAGTTGACTTATGATCTACTTTTTTCTCTGCCAGAACGAGAGAGAACCATATGAAGTCATCATAAAAGATGGGAAGCTCGTGTACAAAGAAAGTGGTGCCGTTGTGGAGACCTCTGAGGGTTCTAAATGGATATTTGTTCTTAGCACGACAAGAATTTTGTACGTTGGGCAGAAGAAAAAAGGCCTCTTCCAGCATTCAAGTTTTCTAGCTGGTGGGGCCATCACAGCTGCTGGAAGATTAATCGCTCATAGCGGAGTTCTTGAGGTAAATATTCATACAGAACCGGTATACATGCAATTTTCTTTTGTTTCAAAAACAGGTCAACCGTGCTTCTTTTCAGATGTGAGTTTGATGATTTTGTGATGTCCTTGCAGGCAATTTGGCCATACAGTGGGCACTACCACCCGACTGAAGAGAACTTCAGGGAATTCATAAGCTTCCTGGAGGAGCACTGTGTAGATCTTGTTAATGTAAAGGTAATTGTTACAAATGTACATTCTCCATTAATCTTTTTCTAAACTTAATAGTATTACCTATATTAATCTCGTCTTTTGACAAAATTTGCCTGACACTTGGCCGTTTCTCTTTTGCTCAGAGATGTGCAGCTGATGATGATTACCTTCCTTCCGATAAGGATTCTTACGAAGAATCGCTTGGAAGATCCACTTCTGAAGCCAAACTACCAGAAAATACATGTGAGGTCAATGGTTTGACCAGGGAAGAAGAAATTACATCTTGCGATCAAAAGGATAAGCCGGTGTTCAACTTGTCTAAGCACATGTCCTGCAAATGGACTAGCGGCGCTGGACCACGCATCGGATGTGTTCGGGAATACCCTGCTGAGTTACAATTCCGAGCACTCGAACAAGTTAACCTTTCACCACGGGTGGCTTATGGACCTCTCAACTACCATGGTCCAATCCCATCACCTCGACCAAGTCCTAAGATTCGACTTTCTCCACGGGTTTCATACATGGGATTGCCTAGTCCGAGGACCCCTATTCCTGTAGCTAACTAAGGTTTTATAGGAAGTGGAAGCTGCCCTCACTGGATCATAATCTGACTGTTGACTGATGAAACTCACTCAAACCTTCGTTCATTCTTTTGTTGACTCAAGTTTGTAAATGGCTCAGTTAATTGCCAAATCCCTTTTTACCCATCTTTGGCTCTTTTTAATTAGTTGGAGGTCAATTTTGATTGATTTTTTCATTTCTTCTGTAAACGAAGTATTCAAATTATTAATAAGTTTGAAATTTCATTGCATCTCCACAAGGTCAAGTATCGTTTGATAGTGAATTCCTCCTTTCATCTCCATTATTAGACTGAAGGGTTTATTTTATTGATATTGAATTATGGATTCCTCATGGAATGATGTTGGTACGACTCGAATGGTTCAAATTATTCACATCGGAGGTTCATCTGCTGTAGTTATGGAATATAAGCACCTAACAGCGAGCGGAATATTGGAAAGCTGGGAATAAGTCATAGAAACTAACTACAAAATAATCGTAACTAGTTTCAATTTTTGAGTGTTAAGATTTCGAGTTTCATCTTAAAAGGTCAATATTAACTTGAGGAGTAGTTCCAAGTTTTTATACGTTTGTCTATATCTTCATCAATGTAGAATTCGCCATTTAACATGCCCTTGCAAGAGATGGCTCGTTTCTGCTCATTTTTTCAATTTTAATAAATTGAAAACATGCTCCGGCAAGAAGTGACTCGTTTGTGCTCATTTTTTCAATTAAATCGAATTGCTCATTTGAGTTTAATTGACTGTAGTATGTTAAAGTTGAGGATTCCATCTTAAAAGATTAATTTTATTAAGATGAGTAGTCTAAGTCTTTATATATTGATGTATATTTTCATATTTATTCAGAATGGGATTTATCTTTAACACTAATAGTGGTGTCAATCGAGTCGAGCGGCTCGTCGACTCGCCCGCTCGTTTCGTACTGTTCACGCCCACGAGCCACTCGGGCTCCCCAAAAAGTGAGCATGAGCATGAGTCGAGCGGGCTGGCTCGTCGCTCGGCTCGTGGGCTCGTCTAATTTTTATATTAAAAAAAAAAAAAATTTATGACAAAGTGATCAGAACGGTCACTTTGGTGACCAAACGGTCACCAATTTTTCAATGACCATTTTGGTCACTATTTTTTAAAAAAAAAAATTTTTTTTTTTTTGCCTACTTTTCTAATTTTCTTCTCCTATAAATACCCAACTCATTACAACATTTTTTTCAGACCAAACTTTCATCCTATACTCTCTTCTCTACAATTTACAAATCATTATCAACAATATCATTCATTTATTATATAA